AACCTAAATGGAGACAGAAAGGTTGTGTTTGTATTATGTAACACAGTAACATTATGTGATCTCTTTTTAACATGCACAGACGGAAATGAATTAATTTACAACACAAACAGTTATTCATTAACATATGCTCGAGGAGTCAAATTACATTTTGGAGATTACTTATACGCAGGCGTTTTTAAAGGGCAACATCATGACCCAGTGTTTTTACTGGAAACAAAGACACATCACAGCACACCCTTATTTATTATATTTTATTGTTTTTGGGGGGATATTTTTATTTATGAACCTCCAGCAATGACAAATACTAGAAGTTTGAAACAATGATGTAACAACAAACAATACAATTGCTTTTCACTATCTTAGTTTTCTATAAAAGCAGTACTAGTGTACACTCTGCTTCATCAGTGTGTCTGTAGTGTGTGTATGATATCATTGACTCACACTAGCTGGCTCCTCCAGCCGTTATAATCTCTCCTGGGCAGAGAGATGGCCGGGTTTGAATGCACTGGCAGCGGCTGTCTGCTCTCCAAGTGCGCCCACTGCACCCACAAGGGAGAGATCTACAGGGGAGAGAGGCCACACACACATAAATAGGACTGACATTTAACTCTTGTAAAAGGTTTCCACGAATCTGGGTGGAACAGATTTTTTTCAAAGAAGAAATCACAGTTAAAAGATATTACATTTTGAATACATTTTAAGCATTGAAATATAAGTATTCTTGTGCAAGGTTTTTGGCGGATGCATGTCGTTTTTGTTGTGAATTTGTGCTTTTTCTATCGAAGCCTTTTCCTTGTATAATTGCGTTACTTTGCTTACAATAACAAAAACACTGGAATTGATTATTTTTTGTTGTTTGGGGTCAGAGCTACCTTTCTACAAGAGTGGAAGGGAAGGTGCTGTTTTGCTTTTTGGCACCACTGCTTTAGCCTGATATTGATTCCTAGCAGTGATGTTAAATCTGCCTGTGAGTGCTTCAAACACACCACTGTTGCTCTATCTGTGCTTTATTAAAAACACCCATATCTGTCATCTGTCACATTTCCCACACTGATACAGCGGACACAGACCCAGTTCTTTGTGCGTCTGGCTCTCTTCTCCAGTCCTGCCTGTAGCCGTGCACCAAGGCCCCCGGGCCTACCAAACTCCTGCACCATCCTGCGGGTGTGGCTGAGCTCATCGGGGGGCAGCAGGGGCTCCAGGCTCCTGAGGTAACTCTGCAGCGTCTGGACCAGAGGGGGCACCGGCTGCGGGGGCACTGAGGAGAAACACAGCTCCTGCCTCAAAGAAACCTGGAAGAAAGGGAGAAGTTTAAAGATTGTTTTTCTTCTTTTTCCATCTTTTTAATGTTTGAGCTTCACTGTACACAATGATGACAGAATGTGCAGAGCTTGACACTAAGAATGGATTTTATAGTGAAGTAGAGCTGCAACTAGCACTTATTTTCATCATCATTTATTGTTTGGTCAGGAAATACTGATAAATGTCCATCCCAGTTTTTGGAAGTCCAACGTGATGTCCCTAAGTTTAATTTTGTCAGTCGAACACCCAATTATATTCAGTTTATTAAGATGTAAAAAAAGGGAAAAGCAGGAAATCTCCCTTTTTTAGAGAATTTGTGGAAATGTTTGAATGGAAAAATATTTAAATAGTAAATAGACTATCAGAATAGTTGGTGATTATCTTTCTGGCCATCAACTAATCTTACAAAGGAGAAGGAGTATATATCCTTTCTAAGATGTTTTATACAAATAATAAATAAATATGACATAGTATAACAACTCAACTTTGTAACACTCAGGTGTACATTTCAGGTAATATTTTCCATTTTATTTATTGTTGTTATATATTTTGGTAAAATACCTTTATATTTTACAAAATTATGTATATGTATCGTATCATATCAATATGAGGGGGGGGGGGGTGTTAAGGATATGGCTGTTCAGTGCACACTCCCAAATAGTGACGTTATAAGAGTAACCAAAGTTTTGGTACAGTTTCACTGCATGTCAGCACAGTGCAATGACTTCCATGAAAGTTTGACTTAATGCCAATAACAGCAGGGCAGGACCATTGGGAAGGACTAGGGGGCGTATCAAAATAGGAAGTGTAGAAGTTATGACAGTAGAAACATGATCAGCGGCCTCCTTTTCGACTAATAACAAAGCATAAAAAGCTATAAACCAATATGTAAACAGTATGACAGAAAACAGAAAACGACTCACCCGAGACAGCCATGCTCTGCAGGTTCCTGGTTGGATTTTCCTCCAAATCATGGTTCCCTAAATCAGAAATCCACCCCTTGTTGCATCTGTGTCACAATAGGCAGCTTTGAATTTATATTCTGATAACTTTCTGCACAGTCTCCACAGTCAGGTCGTCAAAGTCAAGAAGAAATCCCTCCTCCTACTTCTTCTTCATGGTGGACGCAGAAGAGAGTCGTCGCTCGATGGATCCTAGTTTGACAACATCAGCGCATGTATGCATGTGGTAAAAAGAAAAGTGTTGTATCTTCAAACTGCGAACATGCAAAGATGCACGTACTGAGCTGAACTGACGCTGCAAGTCTGCACACGTGTTCACGTGAAAATGTTGCTGTAAACAGCTACGTCACCGAGCCACGAACGAACTTTTAAGTGAACGACGGGAGCCGGCTCGCGCCCGCGAACGAGAGTTTTTTTTTTGTGTTTTTGTTGTTAAGTAATACAACAAGACAAAATGATATGATGATTTCGCGCTACGGGTGCTCCGTGCATGCATGCAGTGACATGTAATATCCAAGGATTGGAGACGGTTGGATGCTGCTGTTTTGCACATTGCAATACGTTTATTTGTATTATGTTTTTTTATGATTAGAAACGGTCGGATGCTTTATTTAGGATTATCTTTAGGCTCAGCAAATATGTAATGTCAGCTGCATGCTGCTGTCTTTTTTTCTTTAGTTAATACTGAAATAGAGCCCTGCTGTTTTGTTAGGGCTTTTTCTTTAAATACAATTTTAAAATGTCGATATAGCCCCTTTTTTTTAAATGTCTATGTGCTTAAGTTTTTACAGGTGTTGCTATATCTGCTTTGTGTAGCGTGGTTCTACAAGCAAGTCAGTGCATTCATTGGGTGGTATGATATCAGAGAGTTACAAGGGTCTGTAAACGCAATGGCCACAATCTTTATATTTAAAAATGTAATTTTTACTTTTGAATACTTCAGAACAAAGGATGTAGGCCTATTGAATAATGTAAATGATATATGCGTATAAATATAAATCATTAGTCCAAACAGGGCTACATTTGATTGAATTATAAAAGGTATATGTGGTAAAATGAAGAGCCATTTGGGAGCCGAAAGAGCCGGCTCTTCTTGGTGAGCCGAGCCAAATGATCCGGCTCACTAAAAAGAGCCGGAAGTCCCATCGCATCCCTCCGCATGGTGTCGCTATTACACTCATCATCAACGAGGTTCAGTTTTATATTTTTTCTTTTTGACTGTTTGGGTCTGTTTCTCTTTTTAAATTCATTTTGTGACTCGTTTTTCAATCTTTTAAAATGAATCAGTGGTACAGGAAGTATTCAGACTCTTTCTGTAAACCTATTTCTTAGGAAACTGAAGCCTCTATTTTTCTGTATTTGAATTTGCATATATTTTTTAAAGCATTAATTATTTTGTTGTTTTTTTGTTGTTTTTTATTTCTTATGTTGTTAAATTGACTTGACAATTTATTTTCATGATTTTAATGATCCTCATTATAATCATAGCATGTGTTTCAGATGACTGCACTATCCAGTCTTGGACTGGAAAAGAAATAAGGAAAGGCCTTATTTTAATCAAAAACCTAAATTAATACTTGTTTTTCAGTGGATTTTACATTTTATGAATAAAAGAGGAGACGAAAATGTTTTCAGAAATATTTATTTGTTTTGTTCTTCTCTTGAAGCCAGCTTCTCCAACCATCATAGAAAAAACATTTTGCTCAGAATTTTGCATCTTCTTTTACAATATATTGTTTTATAAACATAGTACAGCCAAACATCAGATAGCAGCTGTAATATGTTAGTTATTTTGATAAATGTTCTCAACTCAACATAACTTCCTCTCAGGGACTTTCACTCACACAGCTCTCTCCTCTCCTACAACACGAATGTTAACAAATATTACCTTTATTTATATCCATACTCATGAACTAAACTGTTACCTGAGTTGTCATTGGAAGCAGTAAGGCTCAATTAAACCAGAATACACACACCTCTAACTTTCCTGCACACATTGCACCGACCCTGCAACATTCAACAGGAGGCTTCAGACAAGAAAAATAAAACCTCTATAAACTGATCTTCATATCATCTGTATGGGCGAATCCAGCAGGCACATGAAACCAGATGATACAAACATCACTCCTCTATGCCGAGGAAGACAAATATAGAAATGAATGAACATAAAATAAGCTATGAAATATATTAACTAAAAAATAAAATATTTTGATATTGCATGGACAAGTAATCTTTTAATACCCATCAGAGCACACCTGAGGGTTGTTTATAATGTACCATACTCAGACATAAACTTTTCCCCATATTTCTCAGAACATAAAACCAGATGAAACAATGTCCCCAGTACATTTTATGTTTTTCTATTTTTTGATGCAGGAGTCGAACTGAAGACATTCAATTTATTCTCATTCATTCTGATGCTAGATAAAAACACCGCAAGGATTCTAATTGCTTCAACAATACAGATCAACAAAACTTGATTAACATCGTTCAACATTCAAACTGTTGGTGATCTTGTCAAATGGGGAATTTTGGCGAGTACCGAGATGGAAGGTAAATAAGGTGAATTAATGATTATTATTATTATTATTACTTTATTTTCCCATTCACCCGCTGTGACATTTATGGCCTCTGGGGTACTATAAATGCAACCATACCTTTCCACCGCTCAGTAATAACATATATGTTGTAACAAATTGACCATTTCGGCATTTAAAAAAAAACGTTGTGTAGAAATGTTCGTTCTTTGTTTTTATTGCCTACATTTCTAACTTGCTACCATCTTCACAAAACATTGGTCAGTTTGTTTGTCAAAGCTTGAGATTATCCAGATTTTTCTTATTGACAACAAATCCCAAGAAGAGTTTACAACACCATGGTTAAAGTCAACAACATTTCACAGCTCAAAATATTTACTCCAATGTCGTGACAATCAGTGGATCTTTGCTTAACTATTTTTTCAACCTTGGTGACCTTTCATTTTAAATGTTGTGCCATTAACAACAGTAACAGTAGCATTGCACCGAGTTTAACCTTCTCTGTCAAAGTCTGAACTGCTCCACAAAAGAAAAATTGTAGACAGATATGAGACAAAGTCAATAGTACAAACACATGTATTGAAAAAACAGTGATAGCAATTAAGCTAGCAAACTTGCTCAGTGATATTATGCTAGCTAACATATAGCAAGCTTGCTAGCTCTCACTTTCTCTTGCTAGCGCTTGCTAGTGGTTTGAGTATTTCCATAGTCAATCTGTGGCATTCAGTTTTAAGCCAATTCATTATCTCTGATCCATTGAGTCTCTAAAAATACATCACACTTTTTCTGTTTTTATCTTTGAAACAGGTCCGTAATTAATTAAAACAGCACAGTGCTGTAGTTTCTAGCTAACTTTACTCAAGCTTGAAAAAATAGCTCAATATAGCTGAGGATTCACTTAAGCATCAGATTAATACATATTTGTTCTAGTAGTCACTTGAAGTAAAAATACAATGCCAAAGTTCTTTGTAGGCTTTTTAAAGAACACGTCAGGGATTTGTTGACAATAAGAAGGTTATGCAGTAAAATATTGCCAGACATATCATTTAAGGAAAGTTCGACACAGTGAGATAAATGGCTTTTTTAGCCGGAGTAAAGTCCAAACCCATGGAGAGTTTCACAGTGAGACCAAAACAATTGAAACCCATAACCCCACTCATTACACGTTGTGTTTTTTGAGAAGGGGTTGACACTGACCCACTCTAAGAGCCCCTCCTGTTACCATCCCCACGTTCCTCGTGCTTTTGGATATGATTGCTATTTCCTCCATCTCAGCCTCCTCCTCCTGCACCTCCTCTCCCTGCTGCTTCTCCATCCTCCATGGGTCCTGAGGGTAGGGTGTGCAGGCCAGCATGGAGGTCTCTGATGGGTACTCACACACCTGCTCCAGCTGGTCCTCGTCAAAACACACATGTCCCTGTCGACAAAAGTAAAGGGGATTCTTTTATTTTACATTTTTGTCAACAGCTAAGCAGGACATCCGACATCCATTCACACAATATTCACAACATTGCATAAACCATTTAGACATAGCATTTTTCCTTAGAATACAACATTGATTTAGCATGTTTTGTGTTTATATTATGGTTTGTCAGGTTTTGCAGCAGCAAAAGGCGGTATTCGTTCTTTACCAACACTGACTTTCCTCTGACACATCAGAACCCTTGAAATTTGAGCTGCAGATAAAATATGATGACATGAGAATAAAGTTATAACGTTGTGAAGTAAGGAAAAGAGTGTGAACACAGGCGCTGAGGAGAGTCTCAGCCTGCGTCTGTGAGATGTTTGTAATCTGTCATTGTAATGTTAACTGACAGCATGAGGCTTAGCACAGAATAAATACTCTCTCAGTAGAGTACTTACTGACTTGGACTTCATGCACTAACTTATTGATTCTTTAGGAACAGACCGAGAGAAAACTGAGTTACACCTTGTTTGTAAGGAAAGGAGATAAAGGATATGTTTAGCTTATCCTTGCCAGAGTATGTTTACTCAAAGGTCAGCGTGGTGTAAACAGGACACAGACCAATGGTGACCCATTGGTCTGAGTAAAGCATAGCACACGCAGTGTGTCTTACAATAACAGGCTCGACGTGTACAGTTGTAAACACACCCAGAGGTGCAGACATGATCTGGATGAAGCCTACAGATTCCACCCTACACAAGTTTCCGCTGCTTCATCCTGACAGCGGCTGTCTGCAGAAGAGTGCAGATAATAGCTCTGCATTAGTGAGGCTGGGCAAATCATGCTAAGGCACAGCAGGTTAATCCTCCCTCCCTGAACCCGATTAACTAGGGCTAACACAGCAGGACAGCAGAGGCACCGGGTGAGACACAGAAGCCTGAGAGAGTATAGACATAACAAGGACGTTTTCCTTAGCAGGATGTTGGTATACATTTGGCCACCACTGCTTATAGGTTCAATACTGCGTGTTTAGTAATGCTTTAAGTTGAACTTTCCATCTGTTCAGATTTTTTATTTTTTATTTTTATTTTTTTAAATAGGACTGATCCATGCCTTTTTAGATCAAGAAAAACACATTAAAATCCTTTCAAAAGCATGCATACGATAGCTTGAAATAAACTAAATGCAGACGATGATAAGATTGTGACAGAAATGTGAACGTTTCTTACATTTCCAACAAGAAAACAAGCCATAATTGAGGAGCCTGAATCAAGAGAGCAAAAGGACGACTTTAATGTAAAGAAAGTCCAACAAAATAAAAAGCATACAAACTCAAAGGAGGAGGAAGGTGAGGAGCAGGCAGGTCACCCCCCTCTGTGACATGATGGCGTGGATGGGGGAGGGGAGGAGGCCTTATGTCAAACAGTGTGAAGGACATCAACGAGAGAGCGACAGGTGGTCAGGGATTCAACGCCGTAACGTGTTCACTGCAGCTAAAGAGGCCCGTTTGTTTATTGAATTAGAGGTCACAATGAAAGGCCAGTCAAGAGATATTAATTTGCAGAGAACCTCACTAATTCTAGTTTGACTCTTGTGTTGACATATCTGAGTTGCATTTAAAAGTGATCACCATAATCACTTCCTCGTGTCTTTCTGAGTCTCGTTTGGAGGAAGTAAAGAAATTAGAAAGAGGAAGTGAGCAAAAAAATGCAGTGTGACAGGGAGTTTTGGTTAGACCCAATGAGAAACATTCCAACGCCTTCAATTCCTCGCAGTATGACTGTCAAACTGTAATTTTCTTGAGACCTAAAGTTATTTTAGCAAAATGCTGTTTCAGTTCTTTCTCTTTACATTCTTCCCCAACTAAGAGTTGGCAGCCTGGCGTCAATAACACTGTCGAAGGTCAGTGTGGTCAAAAAATCCTTTGTCAAGACTGCAGTCTAACAAACTAAACACCTCTAGGAAGCAGCCGTGTAGATACAAAGACAGATTTGTGTGAGGAAGGGAGAGCTGACTCGACAAAATTGGTAGAACTGGCACAAGGGAACAAGGAAACACAACACACTCAGTTCTAGACTGAACTAACCAGCAGTTTAACCACTGTTAAAAGGAATTCTTCAGGTGCAGTAACACATTAATACAGTCGGATTCATCAACACAAGGTGGTTTAAGAAAGAACAGAACAAATTATATTTCAGCTCTGCTCCCTCTGTTACATAAGAGTTCCTCATCCACTCATCCGCAAACAAGGACTGCATTCAGGTAAAAGTTAAAAAGGAGGAAATAGAAAGTCCAAATCTGAACTGTGACTCAATTAAGATTCATTTAAATACTGATCTTTGCATGAACCAATCCACACAGACAAGCATGTGATGTTATGTAGGCAAAACGCAAAAAAAGAATGGAAGGAACATTGATCTGGCTTAAACAAACTAAGGGGTGCTTTATTGAACACTTTTCTGTTGTTTGCATTCATAGTTACCCTCATTCTGGCAAACAAAGCAACAAGCAGTTTGCTTTCACTTTCTTTCTTTGGTTTTGAGTGACAGAAAATAACCTATAAACCTCAGGAAATATGGAAGTATTGTTGCTGCCAATACAGGTTTAAGCTTCCATTACATGTATAAGTTGGTATAATTGTTTTTACTTTTAACCTATTTTTTTTAATCATAGGGTAAAAGAAAAAAGTCTGCAAATAACCAGACCTCAGATGCAAATGGAAAAGCAGATCACTCTAGGATTTTATGGCTAAGAATCAAGATGCCGTGCTTGATAAGGCTTTAACTGGCTTAGGTCGGTGTCTGTGATTGTACTTCTCAATCGAAAGGGATGTTCTTTAGATAGAGAGAGGATTCTGCTTGACAACCAGGTGATGCCCTCTGAACCAACTCTGAAGGCATTTAGATATATTACCCTCCCTTTCTGGCTTACTCAATCATTTGAAATCAGTATTCTCCCAAACCGCCATTTTTGCAACTTGACATGTTAAAGTTATTGGAAGAAGCAGACATGCTGCTTTTTTGGAACCACTTTGTGTATAGTTAGGTAAGGTAATGTGTCTTTGCTTGAATTTATCTGTGAAAGGCAAACAACAAAACTAACATCTTCCACTCACCCTTTTTGGAGTCGCTCTGTACTTGACTAGACAGGATTTCTCCAGATTCTGATATCCTCCAATCACCTCGATCTCATCCACTGTGGGAAACTTCTTCTTCGCTGGCTCGTTCCCAGTGGAGGGCGACTTGGCCTGCTGCGCTGGGGAGTTGGACCCTGCTGCTGCTGCTGCTGCTATGGGACCTGTAACCCCTCCTCCTTCAACAGGCTTTCTTGGGGTGACCGTGATGGTGGCACCTCTCCTCACTTGGCCCCCAGAAGCACTCCTGATGGAGAAAAGCGTGGGCGATGGGGCTGGAGATGGAGAAACACTAGGAGACTGAGCAGGCGGTGTGGAGCTGGGGGAGGAGGCCGGGGTCGGGGCCTTATCCGAGGGTTTCAGAGCATTATCTGGGGATTGGCTCCTGAGAATTGAGTTTGTATTTTGGTTGGATTGTTTGAGCTGATTTGTCGGTGAACAAACACGCCAAGGAGACACTTTGACCTTTGATTCTGGTGTTTCTTGTTCTTTCTTCGGGGTCTTGACGTTGTCATTCACCTTGTACTTTAGCACCCCTCTTGGGCTTTGCTGTCCCTTTTTCTCTCTGTCCTTAAGAGGAGTGTTTGGTGATGCACAAGACTTCAGCAGTTCCTTCTCTTTCATCTGAAACTGTTCTATCTGACGCTGTATCGTCTGAACTCCAGGGGTGTCCTCATCTGAGGAGGCTTTTCTGTCCCCCTGCTGTGCATTTGATAAGAGTGGCTTCACTTTAACGAGATGCACTGATGGGATGTCGACAGTCCTGTCCCTCAGACACATGGCCGACCTCGAGCTCACTGATTCCAAGTTGTAGATCCGACTCATAGCTGTGATGGTGTTGGGGTGCGGCTGCAATGGGGAGAGAGAATTCTCAGAATTGAGAGGCAATGTATTTTCCTCTACCTTCTCCTCTGACTGCTGCTGTATCTCCTCCTCTTCCTCCCTTCCTTTTTCTCTCTTCTCGAGTTGGGCCCTGTGTCGCTTTAGCTCTTCTTCCACATGTTTCAGGGGGTCATTTTCGTCCTCAGATATCGGGAAACTATCAGAAATAACTCCGGTGGTAGAAGTTGTGTACCCGCTTGGTACTTCCTCAGCTCTGATGGCTTGTGAGACAGAAACAGGAAGTTGAGGGCAGGTTTTTAACACACTGACTTCCTGCGTGACGTCAAAGGCAGTCGCGGTTGTCTGCGCTGCTTCGTCTTCCTGTCCCCTCTCGGCTTCAATCGACTTCTTCCTCATGTGAGGTGCAGCTTCCCTCTCTTTATCTATTGCTGTTGTGCTCTCGTCATGCTTGTCCCCGGCTGTAGGAGTGTTTTTCATGTCTGCAGCTTCACTCCCACTTCCATTTTGTGCCTCTATTTGTCTCAGAGTCTCCAGCTCTTTTTGTCTAATTTTCTCTCGCAGGGACTCGATGCGGCTCAGGGGTTTTCCAATCCTCCAGCTATCCCTCCTCTCGACCCCTTTACCTCCTTCCCAGTTGCCGCTTTGACCCACAGACTTTTTTCTCTCTGCCATGTCTTCGGCAACATAAAACACACTCCTGGGGATTTGAATCTCAAGGGGCCCTGGAGAGATCCCCATGGGTGGAATCCTTTTGGGAGATCTGGGCGTTACATCATGACTGAGATTCTCTGATCCAATGTCCTGATATGAGCCTTGGGACTTGTCAAACACCCTTTCTCCTCTGCTATAAACGGTTGTGTCTCCTATTTTTTCTATTTTATTTATAAGCTCCTCTGTGTGTCGGGACAAAACAGAGTGGGTTGGGAAAGGTCCTTGTGTACCACTCCACTCCGGCCCTCTGTTGGGGTCCCTAGATCTCTCTGTGACAGCACAGAGGAGACTGGAGCACTCTGTGAAAGCTGATGCAACGTGACTCTTCAGTGAAGGTGAAGGTGGGATTATGCCTCCAAATCCCTCCTTTTTGCGGAAATCCGACACCTTTCTTTTGCAAACTTGCGCTTCAATCTTTTCCCCTGCCTCTGAATCTTTGTCATCATTAATTTCCCTTTTTAAAGTCTTCTCACCTGTCTGTCTCTTTACCTCAGCTCTTGCTTTCCCGTCCTGCCTGATTGTAACTCTTCTAGCAAACGAGATTCCTTCTGTGTTCTTGACCGATGCCACTGTGAACCCCTCGTCTCCATCCGCATCACATGCCCTTTCCGCAGCCCTTGTGTCAACAGGCGTCACTTTCTTAACGTTGTTGCTTTGTTCGACGGCAACACACATCTCTGATTTATTTCTCTTTTGCATGGGCCCCTCATTTTTATCCATATTTTGTAATTGTCCATCTATAAGCTTTCCAAACCGGCCTTTATCTGAAAGCGATGTGCACCACGGTTTGATCTTTTCTGTGGTTTCCTTCCCTACGGCTGCAACGTCAACCCATGCCCCTACACTCTTTTCTGAATTTACCCTCCCACACCTTCTCCTTTCATGATGCCCATTGTCATCCAAACCATTCTCCTTACAGCTGATGACTCGATCAGAGAAGCTTGATGAGCGTTTTGGCACACCTTTCAACATCAAGTTTCTCCCATCTGACTCAGACTGCTGGTCATCTTCATCTCCAGAGTATTTCCTTCTCCCGGGCCGGAGTAAATTATCAGAGCTTTTTGATCGAGAGGGAGGCTTGGGGTGCTGTCCAAATTTACTCAGCAGCTGACTGACCCTCCCTCCTCTTTCAACAAACACGTTGTCGTCCAAGCTTTCCTCCCTGTCGTCTTTTATAACTGTCGCCTGGCCCCATGGTCTGTCTTTGTCTTTTTCTCTCAGCCAAGACATGTCTGTTTTGATCTCTCTGCAAATGCTCTTCCTCCTTTCATCCATGCTGCATTTGACCTCTCCATCCTCTCTACCTGATCCTCTCCCTCTCCCTCCTCCTTCTGAACTCCTCTCTTCAGAGCTTGATGAAGGCTTTATAATCAGAACCTCGGAGGCTCGGATCTCTGTTATGCTCCCTCCTCCGGCTAGGATCTCCCTCAGGTCCATCTTCATGCCTCTCTGCCCCTGGTGGTCCTGCTCAGGCCTCTCTCTCTCCGCCTCCCTCCATCTACCCCTTCTCTCATCGCTGCCTATCCTGTCCTGCTCGATGATGATGATGTTGTCGGCTCGGAAGGTCCGAAAACATGATTGTGGATCTGTTTCCTTTTCCTCCCCGTCTCGTCTGGCTTTGAGGAATTCCCACTCCCTGTTGTCATCTTTAACTGACTCTTTCCATTGGTTGCTGTTCTCTCTTTCTCTTCCTTGACTCCTGTCTCTGCTCTTCTCTTTTTCCCGTCCTTCACTCACATCTCTGAATCTCTCTACTTTCATCTCTACATCTCTTCCCATTCCCCCATCTTGACTGCTTGGGCTTGATTTCTCTTTTTCCGTCTCCTTGGCTTCTGTCTCATCCACTCCGTCTACATCCTGGCCCTTCCTCCATGCACTTTGTGTGCGGAAAAATGGGTTTTCATGAACTGGAACTATAGTTTCTTCAAACACCTGACTGGCTGGTTTGATGTCTCCATCTTGCCATAACCCCGGGTCTGGACTAAAGGAAAGTTCGCTTTCCAAATTGACCGTCCCAAAGCTGTCGGTGTCACTCAGACCATCAGAAGCAGATCTGACATCCACCTGCAGCAGACAGACGTCCGTCTCCTTTTCCCTGTCACCCAAACTGTCCAACCTCGCCTTTCTCCTCTGGATGATGCCTCGCTTCCAGGCGGGCATGCTGGCATACTTTTCCTCCTCCTCTTTCTCCCTCCTTTCGCGATCCTCCTCCTCTCTCTTTTTTCTCTCCAGCAGGAGTTGTTTCCATTCTGGCAGAGAGGTGAGAGACATCACAGAAAAGGTCGGGGACAGGAGGATCGCTGTTCTTCTTTAGGGCCTCTGGGAATTGTCTGTAAATAAGGAAATGATTAATCAAATCAATTCTCTCTCACAACCATGTTAAAAAGAGGTGTACACAACAAAAATATTAAACTTTAAGGAAATGTAAAACTCTATAAGAGTATTATCAAATGGATATATGTTAAATACTCCTTAATATTATATACAAATATGCAAATCAATGTGAAATCACCTTGTGGGACAACATTCATCAGCACAACCTGCTGTCCTAGTTTACCGTTTGTTTAACTTAGTACAACTTTTAACACAAAAATTAGAATAAACTTAAAATGTGTTTGCTACATGCTACCAAAACACATTGTTGATTCTGTGTGTAAAATCAAACTCACCAAAACCCCAAAGATATCAGTGTATCCGCCTCAGATGTCATCTTGACTTGTGTGTGTCTCGGCTAATGTGCTCCCCTCCTCGACGACAAAATCTCCTTCCACTAACAGATTAATCTCTTCTGTCGAAACAGTAGCTTTTTAAAAGACGTCAAATCACCCCACGACCTGACTGTGCATCAGAGCATGTAAAAACCTCCGTCCTCGGTATAGTAGTAAATATTTCCAGCCTCGGAGCAGCAGCACTGTAATCCTATAATTACATTAAATTCTGTCAGGAGAGTTTAGTGGCACACACCATATTGTCGGACCTAAGAAAAGGCGTTTAAATAACACAGCCGTCTGCCCGGGCAACAACCCCCACCCCCACCTCGTCCCATCCTCCTGCAGGGCTAATTGGAAGAGAGGTGGAGGGGTGTGTGAACAAAAGCTGCAGGCCTGATCTACTTCCCTCAGATGGCATGTTTTTAAAGGACTATTTTATTAGTTTCAGGAATTATTATTTGCTATTTCATGTCAGGACACAACATGCAACTCTCTCTCCTGTTACGACATACTTACTCTGTAGCTATGTTAGTTTGACAATAAAGAACCTTGAACCTTGAACCTTGTTTCCGCCATCTAAGGAACGAGACTAAGGTCTTAATTTGTAAAAATGTGAATATAAACTAAATCCACCTGAAATGGTTCAAATAAAAAAAGAGGAAACAAGCCGGTAAACATCTTGATAAATGTAACATGATACACAACGAAATAGGCATTTAAGTGTAAATAGGACAACTGCAGGTATAACGTTTTCCTAGTAATGCATTTAACATATTTCATGCTTTATTTCTAATTATTTTATTTTATTTTTGCAATCAGGAGGCTAAATTTGTTTACATTATTTGTTTCTTAAATTCTTCAAATAAACAGTATTTGACTAAATATGACTCCCTGTTATTTAATGTCTGCTCCGACAATTGTTTTTTAATCAAAGATAACAGTACTTTGAAGTTTGAGAAATAATAAATGGTAAATAAAGGTATTCTGATTCTGATCTGATTAATGATGTGGGCAAAAAATACTAACTGTGTTCTCTTGGTTCATTATTGTTGCTGTGAACCCACCACAAAGAAATACATTCATTATCTCAGAAATACAATTATTTATTATTGAAGCTGCAACTTGTGAAAACAAACAGCTTTTTGTGCTTTTACCAGTGTGAAATCTTAATTTGACATCTCTATTTAATAACAATTCACTTTTAAATGAGTGTGCACGAATATAGCGTAAGTGCAGATGGCACATGGAAAGTAAAAGCCTATAAAAAATAAACTATACGACAAACAAAATAAATTCAATTGGAAAAACTAAAAAAGCAATATTTCGAGGGTTGAATTGCATTACTTTTCATATGAAATCTAAAATAAAAATTATATTATTGCAATAAAAGACTAACGTGATAACCTTAAGTAATCTTTAAATTGTAACATATAAAATTATTCTCAAAAATATTTTTAAAAAAAACTACAATGACCTGGGATTCAGATCCACTCCAAAATGAGAATCCAAAAAGTAGTTTTTACGTAACCTGTTTACAAACAAGCAAACCAAAAACAATAATCTCCTTGGCCGAGGTAACAATAATTTGTTCAAACTGTAAAACCTTTTGCATTAAAACTCTCGCTTTCTAAAACTACTTATACAGTGAAATGTTTAAAAAATACAGTGTCAAGTTGAGTGTGTCTTTTGCAATTTCCAGAAATGGCCAGATCATCTTTACCAGGCTCATTGAGAAGTCTGAACAATATTTGATTCATATAAAAAACAGCAGGCAGCTTCACAACGCAGTGGTAAGAAGACCTTTACTTCACTTCTCCTTGGGGTCGCTGGTGTTGGTGCTGCCGTGGTGCGGCTCAGCAAAGACCTGCAGCTTGCTGTTAAGCTGGACGCAGAGGTAGGCTAAATCCTGTTTGTCCAGAGAGTGTGCCAGGGCCAGGTAGGACGACAGAGTCCCCGCCAGCAGGAGCCTATCCAGGGACAAAGC